TGCTGTCCAGGCTCTTCTTTAACTTCTGGGTTCCCCTTATCCTCCTGCCTCAGCCTCCCAAAGTGTTGGGATTACGGGCGTGAGCCAAGCCTATTCAAGATTACCTTTTGATATCCAGTCTCCAGGACAACAAAGTCAAGTGCAGAGGCTGTAAGAGGGGCCAGGGAAACTGAGATTGGAATGTTAGGAATATGTATTTTCTCTAGGCCAGTTTCCTTCTGGTTGGGTAGATAAGCCTTGTCCCAAATCAGAGTCATTCTTTTGCAGGATAAGTTAGCGTTCAATTTTTTTTTTTAAGTTTAAACTACATTTAGCCACAGTAAAATACACATAACATACAATTTGTCTTTTTTTTTTTTTTCTGAGATGAAGTTTTGCCCTTTCTTCAAAGAAGAAAGAGGCTGGAGTGAAGTGGTGGGATCTCAGCTCTGCCCCCCAGTTCAAGCAATTCTCCTGCCTCAGCCTCCCGAGTAGGTGGCACTCGCCGCCACGCCTGGCTAATTTTTGTATTTTTAGTAGAGATGGGGTTTCACCATGTTGGCCAGGCTGGTCTCGAACTCCTGACCTCAGGTGATCCAGCTGCTTCAGCCTTCCAAAGTGCTGGGATTGCAAGTGTGAGCCACTGCACCTGGCCCAATTTGCCATTTTAACAGTTCTTAAGTGTGTAGCTGTTCAGTAGTGTTAAGTATGTCTCTATCGTCATGCAGCCAATCTCCAGAACTTTTTTATCTTGCAGAACGGAAACTCCATGCCCACTGAACAACAGCTGCCCATTTATTTCCCCCAGCCCCAGCCCTGGCAGCCACCCTTCTATCTTTATGTCTCTATGCATACCTCATGTAAGTGGAATTGTAGGGTGTTCATCATTTTGCGACTGGCTTATTTCATTGAGCAAAATGTCCTCAAGTTTCTTCTGTGTTGTGGCATGTATCTTTCCTTTTTTTCCCCTTTTATTTTTGTGTCTTTCCTTTTTAAGGCTGATTTAGTGTTCATTCTTAAAAACCGAAGTCTCTGAATATAGATAGCTGTTCTTTGCATTCACACCTTAAGGCAGCCCCCTACGTTATGCCGAATGTGATCTGTGTTTCCCTTTCATGCTTCTAATCAACTAAATTTAAGTATTATTATTATCAATTATTATTTACTGGCTCCATCCACTCTTATGAAAATTTAAGTATTATTGCTTTACATTTTTATGGCAGGAGTTGGTTGTCAAAGTATGTTCACCGATTTATTTTATTTTGTTTTATTATTTTGTTGAGACGGGGTTTTGCTCTCGTTGCCCAGGCTGGAGTGCAATAGCGTGATCTCGGCTCACTGCAACCTCTGCCTCCTGGGTTCAAGCGATTCTCCAGCCTCAGCCTCCCGAGTAGCTGGTATTATAGGGGTGCGTCACTACGCCTGGCTAATTTTGTATTTTTAGTGGAGACAGGATTTCTCCATGTTGGTCAGGCTGGTCTCAAACTCCCAACCTCAGGTGATCCACCCGCCTCAGCCTCCCAAAGTGCTGGGATTATAGGCGTGAGCCACTGCATCCAGGCACATTTATTTTTAATAATAGCAATACTGAGAGGTAATTCACCCATTTAAACTGTACAATTCAGTGATTTTAGTATATTCACAAGGTTGTGCATCCATCACCGCAATCAATTTGGCTCATCATCCCAAACCTTGGACCCACTAGCTATCACTTTTCATTCCTTCCTCCCGCAGCCCTGGGCAACCACAAATCTACTTCCTGTCTCTATGGATATGTGTATTCCGACGTTTCATAAATGGAATCATACAGTACTTGAAGCTTTGTGACTGGCTTCTTCCACTTAGCAAATGTCAACATTCATCCATGTACCACGTATCAGCATTTCTTTCCTTTTTGTAGCTGAATAGCTCTATGAAGACGCCACATTTTTTCTTTTCCATTTAGCTGTTATCAATAACGCTGCTATAATCATTGGTGTACAAGGTTTTATCATGGAAATGTTTTAATTTCTGTTGGGTACATATCTAGGAGTGGAACTGCTTTTACATGCTTTCATTTTAAAAAAGACTTTTTTTTTAGACAAATTTTACATTTACAGAAAAATTGTGAAGATAGTATAGAGAGTTTTCATATGTCACCTTACCAAGTTTCCCCTATTATTAACATCTTACCTTAGTAGGATGCATTTTTAACAATTAATGAACCAATACATTATTATTTATTAACATTGTTTATTAATAATTAATATTAAGAATGTTGGGTATCAATGACCAACACATTATTTAACATTCATATTTTATTCAGATTTCCTTAGCTTTTACCTAATCTCTTATTTATGTCCCAGCATCCCATCCAGGATATCAAATTGCAATAGTCATTTCTCTTTTGACTCATCCAGACTGTGACAGTTACTCAGACTTTCCTTGTTTCTGATGACCTGAATAGTTTTGAGGAGCACAGGTCATGTAGTGTGTGGAATGTCCCTCTGTTAGGACTTGTCTGATGTTCTTTTTTATTTTCGATTTTCTGTCTGATACACTTTTCACGATGAGACTGGCGCAATGGGTTTCGGGAAGGGAGACCACAGGGGTAAAGCATGGTTTTCCCTTTGTCTTACACCAAGGGTCCGTAATCTCAATGTGAGTTACCACTGTGGATGTTGAGCTTGAACACCTGGCTGAGGTAGTGTTTGCCAGTTTTCTCCACTGCATGGTGACTCTAACTTTCCCCTCTTTCAATACTGTGCTTTGTGGAAGGAGGTCACTTTGCACAGCCCACACGGAAGTGCGGGTGATGCTCTAACTCCCTAAGGGGGAGTACCCACACAAAGCATTTGGTATTTTTTCTGTAAGGAAGATTTGGCTTCTTCTTCATTGAGTTGTGCTATACTTCATGCTACAATCCAGAATTGCTGTATTAATTCTGTGGTTCAAGCTCCAGCTTTGGCCTTGGGAGCTCCCACAGTGAGCCCTTGTCCCTGTGACATGCCCTATCAATGGATTGTTTGCTTAACACTTTTTTTTTCTTTTTGGTGCTACAAACTGACCCAGGCTCATCTAGAATATTTTCTGGGTTTGTCTTCAAATGAGCCATTTCTCCAAGGAGTCCTGCTTCCTATGATTGGAGAATGCTGTAGAAACCAAGATTTAGACTCTAGATGTGTTCTGTACATTTGTTTTTCCCTCTGATCATCCCCACGTGAACTCTTTCTGACTTTTTTTTGTCTTTTCATTTTGCAGTAAGTCTGAAACAGCCACTGGAGTGTAGTGGTTAAGAGGAAGGACTCAGGGGTCAGATTGCTTGGCTTCATCTCACAGATCCATCACTTGTCCCCTTACGGACTTAATTCCTCCATGCCTCAGTTTATCACTTATAGCCCATGTAGGCTTAATTCCTCCATGCCTCAGTTTCCCTACATATAAAATGGAAATACTAACAGCACCTATCTTGGAGGGTTGTTGTAAAGCTTAACAGATGTAAGACCCATGGTATTTTTTTTTTTTTTTGAGACGGAGTTTCACTCTTGTTACCCAGGCTGGAGTGCAATGGCGCGATCTCAGCTCACCGCAACCTCCGCCTCCTGGGTTCAGGCAATTCTCTGGCCTCAGCCTCCTGAGTAGCTGGGATTACAGGCACACGCCACCATGCCCAGCTAATTTTTTGTACTTTTAGTAGAGACGGGATTTCACCATGTTGACCAGGATGGTCTCGATCTCTTGACCTCGTGATCCATCCGCCTCGGCCTCCCAAAGTGCTGGGATTACAGGCGTGAGCCACCGTGCCCGCCCCGACCCATGGTATGTTTAATGGTGCCTGGCACCTAATCCATGCTCAGATGTGGGTGGCAGTGGCAGTAATTATTGGGGAGGACAGGGCAGATGCCCTTTTTTGTTCTTTCAAGTCAATTAAGTGACTTGCCTAAGACATGGTCAAGTGGAAGTTTACCCAAGGGTTCTTGTGTCTCCATGGTACCCTGCTACCTCCTGACTGTAATATTTTGTTTCAGCGTATGAGTCTGTGATAAATACCTGAGAAGCTGTGGGGCTCCCTGTGGAATATGAATGCCAGCACCAGAGTTGAGGGCTCAGGAGCTCTTGGGTGGAAATAGTTAACATTTAAAATAAATTGGCTGGGCACGGTGGCTCACGCCTGTAATCCCAGCACTTTGGGAGGCCGAGGTGGGCGGATCACAAAATCAGGAGTTCAAGATCAGCCTGACCAATATGGTGAAACCCCGTCTCTCCAAAAAGTACAAAAATTAGCCAGGCACGGTGGTGCATGCTTGTAATCCCAGCTACTCGGGAGGCTGAGGCAGGAGAATCGCTTGAACCTGGGAGGCACAGAGGTTGCAGTGAGCCAAGATCGCACCGCTGCACTCCAGCCTAGGTGACAGAGCGAGACTCCATCTCAAAAAAAAAAAAAAAAAAAAAAAAAAAAAAGACACACTTAAAATAAATAATATTATCAAAACGTGTACTTTAAAAAAATTGGCACGTAATAGTCCTACATACTTATGGGGTACCTGTGATATTTTGTTACATGCATAGAACGTGTAATGATCAAGTCAGAGTATTTAGCACACCCATCACCTTTAACATTTATCATTTCTTTGTGTTGGGAACGTTTCAAATCTTCTAGCTGTTTTGAAATATACGATACATTGCTGTTAACTCTAGTTACCCCACAGTGCTATCAAAGTCTAGAACTTACTTTTTCTATTAACTGTGTGTTTGTACCGATTCACCAACGCTTCTTCCTCCTCTCCCACTCCCATCCAGCCCTGGTTAACCATCATTCTATTCTCCCCCTCCGTGAGATAAACTTTTTTAGGTTTCACATGAGTGAAAACATGTGATATTAATCTTTCTGTGCCTGGCTAAAATGTGTACTGTTAAGATATTTATTATTTTAAGAATAGGATACTATGCAATTAAAAAAAAACAAAAACTCATTCTGGGTTAGGAATGAAAAGCCTTTCAATACTAAATTAACTTGAATGCTTTCTTTTATCTCCCTTTAGTGGACTCATTGGGCGAAGCTGGGCCATGCTGTTTGCCAGTGGAGGCTTCGAAGTGAAACTCTGTGACATCGAGCAACAGCAGATAAGGAACGCCCTGGAAAACATCAGGTGGGCCAGCCGGCGCGCTCTAGGAAGAACGGAAATGGGTCTGTCTCTCTCAGTTGGGCTCGTTTGTCATATCCTCAAGGCTGTACGTATCTGTGATGTCGCTTTTTCATCTGATGGCTACTTCAGTGCCTCTGAGTTGGTAAAGGCCAGGTCAACAGTGGCTGGAATGTGAATTCACACTGGGGAAGGGCTCCCATGGGCAGGAAAGGACCCTTCTGGGGAGGGAACCTCCATCAAGCGTGAGTGACTTTGCAGGCTTCTCCGGCTGTGTGCCCAGGGCTGAAGGGCTGCGGTTTCCTGCTTGTATCTGGGCATAAGGAACTCGCTTCCAGCTTGTAACAGCCAGAGCTGCACTACAGTTCAGGAAGCGAGGTCTCGCAGCTTATTTTGACCTGTCGATCTAGTAATGGTAGGGCCCAAATGAAAACCTCCTGAATTTTAGTGAGAGATTTAGCACTCATGTAAGAGGACAGACCTGTCCTGTTTATGTGGGTGTCGTTAGCTGCGACAGCGGTGCTAGTTAAAGGTGTGAGAGTGGATGGACTTACCAAATGCTGAGTGCTAAGAATGTGGAGGGCTGTTTTCAGGATGATAGTCACAGGAACCAAAGAAATGCTGAGACTGAGGGATGTCGAGGACAGAAGAAAGAAGCTGTTGCGGCATGCCCAGAGGCAAAGGCACTGGCGTGGAGCACCCCCGCTGCACAGCGCGGCCCCCTGCGGCGCCGTCACATAATACGATTCCGACCCTCTCAGACATGCTTTCTGTTTAGCTGGTTATTATCCTTACTTGGAAGATGTCTGTGAATATATAACTGGAATTTGAATTTTGGTACAACAAAAATATGCTTCCTTTATTGTCTACATTTTGAAAAGACTAATACGTACAGTATGATGTTGAACTATAGGCATTAAGAAATTATATACCCTAATCCAGTGTTGGTTTTACAGATTAAGAATCTGAACATGGAGAACTTAAGTTACTTCTTCCATATTGTTACAAATGGCCAAGGCCAGGGTAAAATGTCAATCTAAAAAACAACTTGGCCAGGCGTGGTAGCTCACACGTATAATCCCAGCACTTTGGGAGGCTGAGGTGGGAGGATCACTTGAGTCCAGGAGTTCAAGACCAGTGTGGGCAACAAGATTCTATGGGCATTCTGGAATATATTCTGCATACATTCTTTAGATCTTTCTTCCAGTTCATCTACAGAAAAAAAAGAAACAATTAGCTAGGGTGTTGGCACTCCTCTGCAGTCCTAGCTACTCAGGAGGCTGAGGCAGAAGGATCGCTTGAGCCCAGCAGTTCCAGGCTGCGGTGAGCTGTGATTGCAGCAGCGCACTCCAGCCTGGGCAGCAGAGTGACACTTTGCCTCAACATAAATAAAATAATAAAATACAAAACCAACCAGACAAAAACCAAAAGTAAAACAATCACCACGAAATCATTCACATAGACTGCATGGTTTTGGAAGGAAGGCAACCTGGCATTTCAGTAACAACTGCCTGCCAGCCACGTTCTGTTCCCTAATGTAGACCCAGTCTTTCCTGCCACGGAGCTTATGGCCTAGTAATCTTACCGTATTAAATTCTCATAATAAACCCTAGGAGGTGATGTTATTGACGTTATTTTATGAGAAAACTTAGGTCTATGAATGATCAGTAACTTCCTCAAAGACACAGTAAGACATAAGATTCCAGCCGTGGTCTGTCTGACTTCAGAGATATGTTGAGTATCTTCAGCATCCATCTATACTATTTGCTTTATAGAAATCCTGCAAATATTATATAAAAAAATTTTTTAGGACTACTTCTCTCCCCATATTGCTTTTAATATAATATTTGATATACATAAAATAGATTGTTTATGGAAGTTTAGGAAAAATAATAATAAAACAAATAACATGACCCTACCACTCAACCTAGATTTTGAACATTATCAATACCTTGTATGCACCTTTTGGGTCTCATCTCCCTTCCTTCCCCCCAGAGGCAATAAATATCTCATATTTTATATTTGGTGTTTTCTTGCCCTAAAAAATCCTTTAATCATACATATGTATCCCTAACAACTTGCTGCTTAGTTTTGCTTATTCTTGTGCTCTATGTAAAAGACTATTTCTGTAATACATCCAGGTTATTACTTATAGCTGTAGTATCCCTATTTTCACTGCTATGTCATATTCTGTTGTGTGAATTTGCTATGTTATTTATCTCTTGTCCTTATGATGAATGTTGTAACTTTTTCCAGTTTGGGGCCACTGTAAACACTACTGTCATTAATATTCTTGCATATATCTTCCTGTAAATGCAGAAGTTTCCACAGGGTATACACCTAAGAGTGAAACTTAATGGATTTCTTTTCTTTTCTTTTTTTTTTTTTGAGACGGAGTTTCGCTCTTGTTACCCAGTCTGGAGTGCAATGGCGCGATCTCGGCTCACCGCAACCTCTGCCTCCTGGGCTCAGGCAATTCTCCTGCCTCAGCCTCCTGAGGAGCTGGGATTACAGGCATGCACCACCATGCCCAGCTAGTTTTTTGTATTTTTGGTAGAGACGGGGTTTCACCATGTTGACCAGGATGGTCTCGATCTCTCGACCTCATGATCCACCCGCCTCGGCCTCCCAAAGTGCTGGGATTACAGGCTTGAGTCACCGCGCCCGGCCAATGGATTTCTTTTCACTGCAGAGATTCTGATTGCATGGACATTGGACCACCTCATTTTGCCTTCTTGTCTTTTAACATCTCTATCTTATTTTCTGTCTCCTTGTGTTTTTGGAATATATTCTGGATATGTTCTTTAGATCTTTCTTCCAGTTCATCAATTCTTTTTTTAGCTGTGTCTAATCTGCTATTTAAATCATCTACTGAGTTATGTCAATAATTTAATTTTTTATTTTAAAAATTCAATTTACCATTTTCCCTGACGTATCTGTTCATTTTCGTAGTCTCTTTTTCCCGACGTATCTGTTCATTTTCGTAGTCTCTTTTTCCCGACGTATCTGTTCATTTTCGTAGTCTTTTTCCCCGACGTATCTGTTCATTTTCGTAGTCTCTTTTTCCCGACGTATCTGTTCATTTTTGTAGTCTCTTTTTCCCGACGTATCTATTCATTTTCGTAGTCTCTTTTTCCCCGACGTATCTGTTCATTTTCGTAGTCTCTTTTTCCCCGACGTATCTATTCATTTTCGTAGTCTCTTTTTCCCGACGTATCTGTTCATTTTCGTAGTCTCTTTTTCCCCAACGTATCTGTTTATTTTCGTAGTCTCTCGTTATTTCCTTATTCATTGTGGTTCCGTTTTTCAAATCCTTGTGTGCTCATATCTTTATGTATTTAATACACAATTGTTTTGTATTATATATCTGATAATTCCAGTACCTGAGGTTGTCTGAGATCAGATTCATCAGAATCAGATCCTGAGATAAAGGTTCCTGGGCGAGTGATTTACTGAGGAAGTGCTGCCAGGAGAAACCCATAAGGGAATAGGTGAGAGAGGATTAAAAGGAGGAAGAAAGCAACTAAGGGCACGATTTCAGGAGAAGCGTCATGCTCAACAAGATTCTATGGGCATTCTGGGACATAGAGTGCACTGCAAAGTTTGTTATCCCTTAGAACAAGGGCTGAGCATTCACATTTCTGCATTAGTCATTGACTACGAGCCTTCCTGGGTGACTATAGCCTCCCAGGCATTTCCAGTTCTCATCTGGGTCAAGGGTAGGACTCTGAGGAGGGCTGCAGCTGTGAGCCTTTGGAGCCCAGGTGGGCTCCAGACACGGGACTGGCAAACTCAAAAGCTGGGGGCTGGTGAAGGGGGTTTAGACCTGGGTGGACCACTAGCGGCCTTCACTATAGCACTTCACCACTAAATTGGGGAGTTTTAAATAAAAAAGCTTTTTTGACTCACTTTTTCATTTGTTCATTCATTCAAAAATACTGGTTGAGCACCTACTATGTGCTGGGCGCATTTTATCACTCGAGTTTAAGCAGTAGGCACAACAGACTAAGATCTCTGATCTTGAGGAAGTCACATTCTACGTGAGAGAGGGAAGCGTTGACACATACATAATATAAAACAAATTACTGAAATATATAGTCTGTTAGAGCAGGGGTTGACAAAACATGGTCAGCTGGCCCCATCTGGCCCGTGGCCTGTTTTGTATAGGCTTTTCAATTCCTAGGTTTTGGCTTTAAAAACAAAACTAGCTTCTATTTCTAAAGAGCAGTTTTGTTTTGTTTTGTTTGTTTGTTTGTTTTTCGTAGATTTTACTTAAAGTCTTGTCAGATAAATCAGATTTACATCACAATTCTACAGTGAAGGGGTAGGGAAATTTAAAACTGAGAATTAGATGTCCATGCCATTGAAATGACCTTCTGCCATGTTTTGAAGTTGTCATTTCTATAATATTTTCAAACCTCCCACCAGGTTTCTCAGGTGTCCTCTCCCTTCCCCCAACATCCCTAATAGTGTGAGTATCCTAAAGTTTTTGTTTTTTTTTTTTTTGTTTTTTTTGTTTTTTTTTTTTGAGACGGAGTTTTGCTCTTGTTACCCAGGCTGGAGTGCAATGGCGCGATCTCGGCTCACCGCAACCTCCGCCTCCTGGGCTCAGGCAATTCTCCTGCCTCAGCCTCCTAAGTAGCTGGGATTACAGGCATGCACCACCACGCCCAGCTAGTTTTTTGTATTTTTAGTAGAGACGGGGTTTCACCATGTTGACCAGGATGGTCTCGATCTTTCGACCTCGTGATCCACCCGCCTCGGCCTCCCAAAGTGCTGGGATTACAGGCTTGAGCCACCGCGCCCGGCCTTTTTTTTTTTTTTGAAGTGACTTTTTTTTATTGCATTTTAGGTTTGGGGGTACACGTGAAGAACATGCCAGATTGTCGCATAGGTACACACGTGGCAGTGTGATTTGCTGCCTTCCTCCCCATCACCTATATCTGGCATTTCTCCCCATGCCATCCCCTCCAACTCCCCACTTCCCTCTGTCCCTCCCCTATTTC